ATATGGACAATTACAATAGTCACAATAAAGAAAATAATGATAATGATAATCAAAATATGAGTATTAAAGATGATACAAATAATAATGATGGCGATAATAATAACAGCAATGTTATTCATAATGAAAATAATAACAAATATGCAAAAAATATAATAATTACGTTTATAATGGTAGTAGTAATAATAATGTTATAATAACACAGTAAAAATAAAAGTAATAATAATGATAATGATAGTAATAATAATAATTATCATTCTTAATATTTATCATCATTAGCATTATTATTATTGTCATTATAATTACACTTTTCCTTATTATCATTAGTTATTTTTGTTATTATTATCATTATCGTTGTTACTATTTTTGTGTTTATTGTTGTAGTTGTAGTCATTATCATTATTATATTAACTTTATTTTGCTATCATCATCTTTATTATGATAAACCTTATTGTCATTATCTTTATCATTTTTGCTATCACTATCACCTTTATTATTGTTATCATTACTAGTACAACAATTTTTATAATCACCATTATCATTATTGTTGGTATTGTAGAGAACCTCCGCTTAAGGCGAGGTTCCTGGTGAGCGTGGTCCAAAAGTAAGAATGCTTCTACTCTCACGTCTATTCACTGGTCACAAGTAATAACCACAACATAAACGCACGAACACAATAAACTACTCAGGGCCCCACGACACCAACACTCACTGAGGTATCTTTTCACGGACCAATCTTGATCTCTCCGTTGCTCTGACCCTGCGTCACTGACTCTGGCTCCTCTGTCTCTCCGATGAGGGTGAGTACCAGGTTCTTGTGTATAGTTGGGAGCGTAGGCTTCCTCCCCTAATTACCATAGTAACTCCTGCAGAGCTGACCTGCACTGATATACTGAGGTCGCTTGTCCATAAGGCCTATTAACTACCTGTTACTAATCCTAAACAAGCGGTCTTGTAAAGGTCAACCAGATGGCCTTCAGTGAGGTCAAAGTGTCTTCATCAGATACCTACAATCCTCCCCCTGGCGGGAAACTGAAAGGGCTAGAGGCACCTCTGTGAAGGCATCACACCTTTCACATACATATAGTTACATGATTTAAAAAAAAACGGAGCTATTAAAGGTGATTCACCCTCCGGAGCTCACAGGTCCTAACCTACAACCGAGTAGTCCTCATTGCCCTGGAAGTGGCTGTACCTGATGGAGGCGCCTCCTGACAAGCACGTATGGCCCTAATCGCTGTCGGGCCACTTCTCAGTTTCCATCTTATCCTCAGCAGGCTGCGTCCAGAGGGCCTTCCACTGCTGCAGGAGAGGTCATGACTTCTCTTCCTGCTGGACACTAAGCTGAGGCTACATGGCTTTTCGTGGGAGGATCCCGGCCTGCGCCGTGACGTGCTGCGTCGAGGATGTATTACCTTTCCCGAGCCTTCCACAGGACTGGGTGAAATCCTAGGAGGAGCCAGTACCTGTACTCCTGGGCTTTGACACTGTGCCAGGAGCTGACATTCTGGGCTTCGGTACACTTTCTTCATTACTCCGGAGTCCGCCGCCTTCGGGTCGCTGATCGTTGTCGTCCCAGTGTCCAGGCCATCGGAGGCTGCGAGGGAGCTTCAGGGCACCTCCTCCAACGGCGTTGTACTCGCACCACCGGCGATCCTGTGTCGGTGCGGCGTCGTGGCGAGTTCTCTGGCCAGGTTGGAACAGTTCAACACACCTGCAAGGACGTCGAGTACATGAGCATGGATGCAGATGTCCTGTGAATCGATTTAACCTGGAGGAGGTGGCTATTGTGGCAATCCAGGTGCAGTACAACCCTCTTCGTCGGGTATACGTGCTCCAGCCGAACACTCAGAGCCGTGGGTGATGCATGCAGTGGCAGATGAAGCTGAGTTCATTTCATTGGTGCCGCCCGAGAGAGATCGCTCTCGGGTAACGGGACGGCCTTGTAGAGGTCGCCATCTCCGTCTTCGTCACAGAATTCTCCTGTGTTCTTGTCGTCTGTAGGGAACTGCAGGCCACGGGAAGTCTGTCACCCCACAGAGCGCTGAGATCTCGTCGCGTTTATTCACAGTGGTCGTCTGTGCAGGAATCTGCACAGCTTCTCTTGACGATCCTCCGGCCGTAGCTGAAGTGGCTTGGGATCACTGGCCTGCTGTTGGTCGCTCGAGGGTGCGGGAGGAACAGCCATGGCCACCCGATGATGAGGCTAATTGGGTGAGAGGATCAGTTACGAATTACTGGCCGAAGGGACTGAATCCGCGGTGGTTCCATCGGTAGAAAGACATTCAAAAGCAGGGTCTAGCGTCTCACAACCTGTCGAGGTTGAGACTGAGAAGGCACCCTTCCATTAGCACCCATTAGAGTGCTGCAGTGATAAGGCTCTTAGGACTCTTGCTGATATGCCTGTTGCAGTTGCAGTTCCTGGAGGGCCTGTAATTGGTTTTACTGGGCCTGCAACTAGACTTGCTGGGCCTATAGCAGGCTCTGCACTTATTCTACACGC